GATAAAGGACATTTATAGAAAAGGAAAGACAGATGGCTTTTAAACATTTTTTAAAATGCTCATCCTCACCCACAATACAAAAACAAATTTCAACTTATATTCACGTGTTTTTCACCTATCAGATCATGAAGTTTGGTAATGCATTGTGCTGGGACTTTTGCACATCATTGACATAAGTGCATGCTGGTACAGTCTCTTTGAGGCACAATTTGACAGTATCTTTCAAAAATTATAAATATGCATAACCTTTTACCCATATTTGCACCTGGAAAAGTCTTTGCCAGGAAGCAAGCATGTGAAAATACTAATTGCAGCATTGTCTCTAACTATAAAAGGTTAAAAACCATCCAGATACCCACCAATAGCAGACCAGTTACATTATAGACTGTCCATACAGGGAAATAATTTGCAGCTGTTAAGTGGAATAAAGTAAATCTAATATAGAGCTATTTCTAAGATAAATCATTTAGGAGGAAAAAAAAACAAGATAAAAAATGTATATAGTACTTTATCATTTTGAAATAAAAAAGGAGTGAAGAAATATAAACATATATTCTCATTTAGAGTATTTCTAGAAATATACTTTACAACTGGAAATAGTAGCTGCTTCTGGAGAGGCCTATGGAATGAAAGACAGCAATGGGAAGGAGGCTTCCTTTTATGCTATATACTGTTTCATACTGTTAGATCTTTTTTACCATGTGTATATGTTATCAATTCCAATTAATATTTAAAGATTGTTTTTCTATTAGACTTTTCTTACTATAATGCAGCATCATCTTTTTATTACTGGCCCTGCATTGTGCTGGCTCACACTTAGTTTGTGTTTTAGACACTTTTCTGATTAACTTTTATCTAGATGTTTTTCATCCATCTATGAAATATGTTTTAGAATTCTAAATATATCACTCTGAGCTCTGGAATGTCATATTTGACCTGCATTTCTCTAATGGAATAGACATTTTAAAGTCTCAAGAGTAAAGTAGAAATGAATATAAAAATATACAAGACCCCTTCCAGTAAGATTATTTTCAATAATTGTAGGTTGTGATGCATTATACTTTGTATTAATCTAAGATTTTCCACAGAAAAAGTAACTACTTACTGATTGTTTATTTTAATTGCAGCTCAGTGTGATTACAGTGCAGAGAAGAAAAGCAGCCTCCATGATGAATCTGGAAAATATTTAAAAATATTCATAGTTCACTCACAGACCTTTAGAGTTGGGGAAGCAGTTGGACTAGAAGTGTATTGAAATGATAAAACCTGCAGAGAATGGTTAAGGCTTGTGTCACTTTGCATAAGCATTTTCCATTCTGTTTTGAGGGTTTTTGGAGAACAGAACAGTGACAGCTTCCTGTACGTAAAGAAAATATAATCCTCTATTGAGCTTCACTGGAGAATAAAGCCAGCTGAGAAGAACTCATTGCCTTCATCAACGTGTCTGTTTTTTTAATTCCTCTTTTTTCTCCCTTGGAAGAACATAATAATTTTCAAACTATGCTAATTTCTTTTTCATAAGAAAGAGTTTTAAAGAAAATTCTAGAATTTAATATTTCAAGTTCCAAAGATTCGAGAATTTTACGTCTAATTGTTACTCCTAACTCATTTTAAAAGTTTCTAAGTATCCATTTTATGAACTCATGAATGCAATAAATTATGCACTTTCTAAAATGATGCTGTCATGTATTTTAATGTATAATTGTAGTGATTCATTTTTAACTTACATGGTTTTCAGTATTTATAGAACTTGATATGTAAGAATTTGAGAGGATTTTTAAAATATATTACTCAAAAGAGTACTAAAACGCAGATCTTAGATTCTGAGAATGCATGGCATTGAACTCTCATAGTCCTATTGATCTTAATAGAGCGATGTAGTTACTCTCTGCTCCTGGTTTGAACTTGGCGCACCCTGGTTTCTTGTGATTAGAGCAGATAGGTTTGATCTGGATAACCAGTTAGGAGACTGTTGCAGTTGTCCAGATAAAAGATAATGAGTTTGAGTTAAAGGCAACATGAAAACATTTGTGTGTAGATATTCAACTATCAGTAGGAAGTTTAAGACTGATGCTAAGAAATTGGGATAGTCATGGGAGTCTTTGGCTGAGAACTGAAGCCATGGAAATATAGGAGCTTGCCTTGGGGCCTTATGTAATGTTGCCAGCTACCTCTTCAGTCCCTTCCTGTACCATTCTCTCCCTCTATTTCTTATGCTGTAACCTTGAGGGCCACCTTTTACATCCATCAATGTGTCATCTTCCCTCCCAACACAAGGTATCTGCATATACTTTTCCATTTATACATTCTTCAGATCTCTGCTCAAACATCACTTTCTCAGAGGAGGCTTCCCTGAGAGTTAGGTTAGGTCCCCTTGTTATATTGCTCTTAATAGTGTGTGATATTTTTCCTTCATAGCACTTATCAAAATTTGTAAATAACTCTTGGAAATTTTTTCTTAATGTTATCTCCTCCTCAACAGACTGCAAGCTCCCTGAGAACAGAATCATGTCTACTCTCATTCATCACTGGGTCCTTAACACCCAATATAGTTCCTGGCATGTAAAAGGTATTCAATAACTATTCATTCAAAAACTGAGTGTTTAAGGACAGGACCTTAGGGAATGTCTTTATTTTTTGAATGAGCTCAGGAACAGGCATCATTATAGGAGATTGAATAGGAGCAATGAGAAGGCTGTAGCAAAGAGAACCCAGCATGATAAAACATCCAAAGAAGGGGCAAATGGTTGTTAGCATCAATGCAATGGTAAGACTGAATAGTACAAATATGGCAGTTAGTTAAATGGTAATCAGATAGGAGACACTTATGTCCATTTCTTAAAGAATTTTTCATTTGGTTCTTTAAAGTAAATTCCTTCCCATCTCATTCACAGAATAATTTCCATATGGTTCATATGCATGTTTATAGAATATAAAAATTATTTTTTGAAAATTTTAGAGACAGCGTTAGAATTCTGACAAAAATATGAGACTGTAGAAGAAAGCAATTCAGAAACTAACATCCTAGACAAGTGCAATATAAGTATTATTATCTTTTTTCAAAAAGAAAATATAACCTTGCAGACTCATTTCTTCAAGGTAAAATCTCTTAACATAGACACTGTCTTCAAACTTTGGCCACAGGCAACTACTCTGTACATTCCAATACTAATAACCCCTCTTTCGAGTTGGATCTCCTTCTCGACTACTTAGATATCCTCCAAGAGGAGAATATGCTACCAGTATGCAGATAATATGCCTTTCTGGCCTCTGTTGAATTTGAACAGAATTAAGGTATGTTTAGCAACAAAACTAAACATTATGGTTATTTTTCTCTAAGAAAAGTTTATTAGTTAATAATTTCTAATGTGCAAATGTAGTGGAGTTTTTAACATTTCTCATATTGGTCAGTCTTGTCTTCCTTTACAGACAGTATCATTTATTCTGTGAACCGTGTTTTAGGAGACCGGAGAAATGAGTAGGAAAGAGAGGAAGGAAATTACATAAATCTGAAGTTAAGGACAACACAGCTAGTTCATTTTATTTATTCATGTTTCTATATTGTGTCTCCCTGAGGAAGAAAGGAGATATGATTACCTCCTCTTCCCTTTGTATAAAGATATGCAAATTGGGGCAGGCAACAATCTTCTAATTTCTCCTCTGGTGTGAGAACTACACCCTAAATATGGGAGAACATGAGCAACAATTCAGTCATTTGTTTAGTCAACAAATATTGAATATTTCATAGCTACACAGTCTTGCCAAATCTACTCTCAGACAAATCAACAAAGAGTGAAAAAAACGCTCTAAACATTTTACTATAAATTCTGTTCCTTAACCATAATGTTTTTATCATTTTTTCCAAAATAAATCTGTAATGAGCTCTTTTGTAAAAATTTATATAAAAATGATTAAATATATCTAGTTTACCTAAAAATGTATATGTACATATAGACATGTACATATAGACAGATACTGCAATACCCTGAGGTTACACATAAAATCTGTCTCTTACCATCCTTTAAAACATAAAAATGTATAGTTTTTGTGATAATATTAATGCTTTTAGTATTTATATAAGGTAGAAAAATATATATATGCTTAGATGACAAAAGTCACAGGATAGAAAGGCATCTTCAAAGTAATTTTGACAACACTAGCACCCTCTAGCCCGAAAATTCACCACAAAACATTCACGTGTCCCACATTCCCGTAGACACTCCCAATGTGTCCACTGTAACCCCATTTTTGCCTCTTTCACTGAGAAAGTATATTGGAATGTAAGCAAATGAGAATAGAGTAAACAATAACTGTATTTTGTTTTTGAGACAGGGTCTCACTCTGTCACACCAGGCTGGAGTGCAGGAGTACAGTGGTGTAATCTCATAGCTCACTGTAGCCTCAAACTCCTGTCCTCGAGCGATCCTCCCCCCTCAGCCTCCCAAAGCACTGGGATTACAGGTGTGAGCCACTGCGCCTGGCCCATAAGACATAACTTTGAATCTGATCTAGTTTATTTCTTTTTAAATACACATTCTTAAACTACGCACTTGTTTCTAGTAACGAATTACTTTTGCTGTAGTGCACAGCTATTGAAATTCACTGAGGGCAGCTCACTTTCCCTTGAGATGGCCCAATCCTCTTTCCAACAGCTCTGACCATTAGAAAGCTCTTCGTTACGTTGTACTGAAATGTGCCTTCCTGCCTTAGTTCTACCTTGCGCAACAGAGTAAGTCTAAACCATCTTCCACATGGCAGCTCTTCAGCCTTTTGAGAATAATCGTCCTGTGTTTAGTAAACATCTACATTTTCTCAGAGGACTTGGCTTTGAATCTTTGTGCCGAGCAGGCACTGGTATCTGAATGCACTCCAATTTGCATATATCCTTCTTCACTAATTCAGTCAATAAATATTTATGGAACGCCTATGTTACTCCAGGTATGCTTAGTATAGACAAGCCTTATTCCCACACAAAACATTATATTCAAAACTCTTATTTCCGTTGTTCTAGATCATGACTGAGAGGGGCCGAGACAGGGTAAGTGATACTTGCCTGACTATGAGGGAGACAACTTATTAGCTCTCTGGGGGATAGATATGGCTTTAAACTATGAACCCATTCCCTATCCCCCAACCCAAGAAGATTCTGACATACTCTCTTAGGAAAGCCTGCTTTGAGAGTCACTATAGTTAGTGATTCATGTAAATGTATTATACATATGCAATATTTCTCAGTGTTTAGGATGAGAATTACTGTTCTATTCTGGAGTCTGCATTTCCATTAATGCAGCTTAAAATCACGTTAGCTTTTTCTTGGGGGGAAGTTAAATCATACTGTTGGACAGATATTGAGCATATTTTTGAATAAAATCCTAAGTCTTTTTCAAAGGTTTTGTTTGCTAAGCCAAATCTTTGCCCCAGAAGTGGGACTGGTCATTTATCCCTATTAAATTTCATTACATTATTATAATGACCTGCCGAGGTCATTTTAACTCCTAATTCTGTCATCCAGTTTGTTGGCTCTAAGGATAGGGGCCTTGCCTGTCACGTTTTGTTTTACTGTTATATTTCTTGTACCCCAGACAATTTTTGATTCACAATGAATGCCATCTACAGATTTGATAAACTTGCCACACATATTTTCATGCATGTCATTGAAACAATGAGGAAAACCAGACAGATCTGAATACAGTCTCTTAGAGTGTACGAACCACCAACTCTCTTAATGGGAGATCAAGAATCAGCCAGGCGTGGTGGCTCACGCCTGTAATCCTAGCACTCTGGGAGGCCGAGGCCAGAGGATTGCTTGAGGTCAGGAGTTCCAGACTAGTCTCTACTGAAAAAATAGAAAAATTAGCCGGGTGTGGTAGCGTGTGCCTGCAATTCTGGCTACTTGGGAGGCTGAGGCAGGAGAATCGCTTGAGCCCACGAGTTTGAGGGTGCTGTGAGATAGGCTGATGCCACTCACTCTAGCCCAGGTGACAGAGCAAGACTCCATCTCAGAAAAGAATCATCAGATATGGTCATTCAACTTGTTTTTCATCTGTCCCATATTGCTGCATATACACTATCATAAGAACGTCAAGAAAGACCCAGCCATCTGCCTAGCAAAACTTCACGGATGCCAGGCTAATCATATTTCCCAGCTCTAATCTAGCAATCCTGTCCACGAAGAAAATTAAGTCTTCTT